GGGGGTGGGGGAGTACATGATGACATCTGAGGGTAATGAGGAAGGGTCAGCCTTTGTTTGGGGGTGGGGGAGTACATGATGACATCTGAGGGTAATGAGGAAGGGTCAGCCTTTGTTTGGGGGTGGGGGAGTACATGATGACATCTGAGGGTAATGAGGAAGGGTCAGCCTTTGTTTGGGGGTGGGGGAGTACATGATGACATCTGAGGGTAATGAGGAAGGGTCAGCCTTTGTTTGGGGGAGTACATGATGACATCTGAGGGTAATGAGGAAGGGTCAGCCTTTGTTTGGGGGTGGGGGAGTACATGATGACATCTGAGGGTAATGAGGAAGGGTCAGCCTTTGGGGGGGGGGGAGTACATGATGACATCGGAGGGTAATGAGGAAGGGTCAGCCTTTGGGGGGGGAGTACATGATGACATCTGAGGGTAATGAGGAAGGGTCAGCCTTTGTTTGGGGGTGGGGGAGTACATGATGACATCTGAGGGTAATGAGGAAGGGTCAGCCTTTGTTTGGGGGAGTACATGATGACATCTGAGGGTAATGAGGAAGGGTCAGCCTTTGTTTGGGGGTGGGGGAGTACATGATGACATCTGAGGGTAATGAGGAAGGGTCATGCCAATGCTAGATAATAAGAGTTGGTCTTCGTTGGGTGAGGGCTTAATGACGACGTGTGATTCATCTATACGGGTGAGGAAGCTCTTTGTTCTGGTGACGAGGAACCTTGGCCTTTGGTGGGTGGAGGATAATTGGGGGGCTTGTGATGCCATCTCTGAACATAAGAGGATGTTGAGTCTTTTGGGTGATGGGATTATTGGGGGACATCTGAGGGTTACCAGGAGGCTCGGCCTTTGTATGGTGGAGGGTAATTGGAGATGTTTGAAGATAACAGATGGTCGGTCTTCATTGTGAGGGGAATATTGGTGGACATGTGATACCACCTCTGTAGATGATGAGGGGAGTTGGTCTTCGTTGGGTGAGGGCTTATTAGCAATGTGTAATGTGATCTAGATAGGTGAGGGGGTCGGTCTTGGATGATGGATTATTGGGGGCGTAAGACCTCTCTGAAGGTGATAAGAAGGGTTGGTCTTTGGCGTATGGATTATTAGGGTGTCATGTCCTCTCTGGAGGCGAGGGAGGTCGGTCTGTTGGGGGATGGATAATTAGGGTGTCATTTCCTCTAGAGGTGAGGGGGTCGGTCTTTGTTGAGGGAATGGATTATTGGGGGGTTGGTCTTTGTTGGCAGGTGGATCGGGGGGTCATGTCCTCTGTAGAGGGGGG